ATTTTCTCATGTGTCTCTTGGCCATCCATATGTCCTCTTTGGAGAAGTGTCTATTCAGGTCCTTTGCCCATTTCTTAATTGGGTTGTTTGTCTTCCTCTTGCTGAGTGCTATGAGTTCTTTGTACACTTTGGAAATTAGCCCCTTATCAGATTCATCCTTGGCAAATATGTTTTCCCAGACCCTGGGGTTCCTTTGTATTTTGAGGCTGTTTTCTTTTGCTGTGCAGAAGCTTTTTAGTTTGATGTAGTCCCAGATGTTTATTTTTTCCTTTGTTTCTCTTGCCCTAGGAGATGTATCAGTGAAAAGTCCACTATGTGGGATGTCTGTGATTTTACTGCCTATGTTTTCTTCCAGGATTTTTATGGTTTCGTGACTTACATTTAAGTCTTTTATCCATTTGAGTTTATTTTTGTGTATGGTGAAAGTTGGTGGTCTAGTTTCATTCTTTTGCATGTATCTGTCCAATTTTCCCAGCACCAATTATTGAAGAGACTGTCTTTACTCCATTGGATACTCTTGTCTTTACTCTTTTGTAACAATCACCCAGTGCTCATCCCTCACATCCTTCTTTTTCCCACACATTTAAAATTTCAGAAAAATTGGCATGGAAAGTGTTATGAGGAATGAAAGATGCCTACTTGCTTGCTTTATGTTATATTATTTAACAGAATTAAGATTATATAACCTAGTTCTCTATAGTTGGTGGTTTAATTTCAGCATTTGTTTATAAACTTCCATCAGTATTTTTATGTTACGTTAATGTGGGACTATTAGTTAGGTTTTGTTCCTGAACGGCTGCACTTTTTAAAAAATCTCCCTGAGCAAATGATTTCTCTCTTCTCTGTTTTCAGCAAATCAATTTATATTTGGAGGCATGGCAGATGTTTCAAACAGAAAATAAAAAAGATCTCTGGCACTCATTCACTGCTTTCTCCTGATCAAAGTTCCAACAGGTATCTAGTATAGGCTGAATTTTTCATCTTGCTCATAAGTATCAGGCAAAGTAAAGCAGGTAGGGATTAGAGACCTTGACCTGATGTCATTAAATCCAGAAGATGCATTTTCTAGGTTGCTGGGATAGATTTGGTGGTTTGGTTTACTGCAATTCTATGATTTGAACACTGAGTGGCACTAAAGCCTAGGTCACAGATAAAATATTGCTGATTCAAATTCTAAGATACAGGGGTCTGTTGATGGGCACGGCTTTGGAAAAGTGCAAAAAGGATCAGTAAAAATCACTTTGAGCTAAAAAAAGAAAAGAAAAATTAGTTTGATAATCAGTTACTTTTGGGAACTGGAAATGTAATTAAACTATTGCTGTTATTTGCAAATTATTTGAAAACAAGAAGTAAACTGCTGTTAAAATGACCAAAGATGATTATCCTCACTGCAACCTATTCTCGAATATTTTCCTTTTTTCTTTGCAGGGCAGTGGGGTGGCTATACTTAAAAGAAAGTTGCAGACAGAGTGCACCCATGTGTATGTGGTTAAGCTCCTGTGCACTCAGAGTTGGCAATACCCATAGTAAACAGTACTTCTGAACTCAAGCATCTTTAGAGACTATTTAGTTATACCTGTAAATGTGTGTTCATACATTTGACTGAATTTGGGAAATATCAGTGTCATTGAAGTTTAAAAAATTAGAATTTGGTTATTTTGGAAAAGGAAGAACATTATACTTATATTTTGTTGTTTCTCTAAACCTTAAATTCTTCATTTTTTTTTCTGCGAATATTCCAGTGGTATACATATTTCTCCCTGACAAAAGGTATAGTCTTAATATCTTGCAAATGTTTTTCTAGCATCTACTGGATTTTTAGATACACTTATTTTCATTATTTTAAACTTATTTTTCTCTTAAATTATTTTCTCTTGGATTACAAAACACACCCTTAACTTTACAGTCTATTTAGAATTAATATTGTATGACTGACTTCACCTAAAACTGAAGAATTTTGCAACTGTAACTGTCCATTTACCTGCTTCATATCATTACTGCTATAGTCCATCATTTATCTTTTTTAAAAATTAAGAGTAAAGAGTAATATCTATACTTATTCATATACTTATTATTTCTAATGCTTTTAATTCCTTTCCTTTTAGAACTTTCTTGTGTTGTCTTACTGTCTTCTGATCACCATAATTTCTAAGGAGAAGGGAGTGTCCAAGTGAGCCTTGCTCCCCTGTAAGTACTTTGTTACTTTTTTTCTGGCTGCTTTTAAAAAAATTTTTAATTTAATTTAATTTAACTTATTTTTTATTTTATTTTTATTTTTTGAGAATATTACAGATGTCTCCTTTTTATCCCCATTGATCCCTTCCACCCCACATCCATCCCACCCCCAGACTGTCCTCATACCAATGTCTGAGTCCATGGGTTATGCTTATAAACATATAAATTCTTTGATTAATCTCTCCCTACCCACACCCTCCTCCCCACCTTCCCTCTGAGATCCCTCAGTCTGTTCCAAGTTTCTATGTCTCTGGATTCACTTTGTTCATCGGTTTATTTTGTTTATTATATTCCACATATAAGTGAGATCATGTGGTACTTGACTTTCTCTGACTGGTTTATTTCACGTAATACTTTCTAGTTCCCTCCATGCTGTTCCAAAGGATAAAATATCCTTCTTTTTTACAGCTGCATAGTATTCCATGGTATAAATTGCCACAGCTTTTTTATCCACTCATCTACTGATGGGCACTTGGGCTGTTTCCAGATCTCAGCTATTGTAAATTGCGCTACTATGAACACAGGGGTGCATAAGTTCTTTGCGATTGGTGTTTCGGGTTCCTTAGAATATATTCCTAGAAGTGGAATCACTGGGTCAATAGCAGGTCAATTATTAATCTTTTGAGGAAACTCCATACTGCTTTCCATAGTGGCTGCAGCAGTCTGCATTCCCACCAGCAGTCTGCATTCCCACCAGCAGTGTATTAGGGTGCCCTTTCCTCCACACCCTCTCCAGCACTTGTAGTTTGTTGACTTGTTGATGGCGCCATTCTGACAGGTGTGAAGTGATACCTCATTGTGGTTTTAATTTGCATCTCTCTGGTGATTAGTGACGTTGAGCATTTTTTCACATGTCTCTTAGCCATTTGTATGTCCTCTTTAGAGAAGTGTCTATTTAGGTCCTTTGCCCATTTTTCAATTGGATTGTTTGTCTTCTTTTTGTTAAGTTGTATAAGTTGTCTGGCTGCTTTTAGCATTCTTCTCTTTGTATTTTGTTTTCATAATTTTGACCATGATGTGCTTAGATTTATGGAGTTCACTGAATCATTGAAATTATATATTTATATTTTTTGCCAGATATGAAAGATTTTTGGCCATTATTTTTTCCCGTTTTTTTCCCTACCCCATTCTTTCTCTTCTCTGGTTTCTGGATTCCAATTACACACGTTAGTGCTTTTGATATTTTTACACAGCTCTCTGAGGCTCTGTTCATTGTTCTAATATTTTTAAAATCTCTCCATTCATAAGATTGGATATCTTCCATTGTTTATTGGAAATGTCACTGGCTCTTTCCTGTATTATCATCATCTGCAGTTAAGATCATACGATTAACTTTTATTTCAGGAATTATAGAATTACAATTCCTATTTAACTGAGTTTTCCTCTCTTTTTATTCATTGTAAGCATATTTCCTCTTACCTCTTTGAGTATAATTATGATTGCATCAAAATCCTTATATGCTAACTCTAACATCTTTTCCATCTTGGAGTTGGGATATAGATTTCTTTTCTCCTGAGAATGGGTACCTTTTCTTGGCTCTTTATTTGTTGAATAATTTTGGATTAATTTCTGGGCATTGTGAAAGTTTCAGTGTGGATCATTTCTACTACTATAGAGTGCTATTATTTTGATTTAGTAGGGATTGTTTTTGGTTGAATATTCAAAGTGTAGTGTCCCTTGAGTGGCGGCTCAAATCTCAGTTAAGTTTTTTTATTTTTTTCAGTATCTGTTTTACTATTTTAAAAAATGTTCAATTACAGTTTATATTCAATATTATATTAGTTTCAGGTGTACAGCATGGTGGTTAGGCATTTACATAATTTGTGAAGTGATCCCCCTGATAAGTTTAACACTCACCTGACACCATACATAGTTATTACAATTTATTGACTGTATTCTCTATGTTGTGCTTTACATCCCAGTGAATATTTTGTGATTGCCATTTTTTTCAGTTTAGTTTTTTCAATCTTTGGTGGACTACTTTGTGTCTGTTCCATAGATGTAAGTTTCAGTGAGCCACCCAGGGATTGGAGCAGATTTTGCAGACAGAATCTGGGCCTCCACTTCTCTACTTTGGAGATTTTCACTGTACTGCCTGTTGGGAGTGGTGGCTCTGAACTCTATCCTCTGTTTGTTAAGGCCAAAAATATTGTAGGTTAAAGCCATACAAATGGAAACTTCATTCTGTGCCATTCCTTCTCCAAATTTTGATTCCCCTCCATAGTCCATCTTATTTTGTTTACTCTCCAATGCCTTCAGATCTTTTTATTTTGTCCAGAATTTATTGTTGTTTTCTGTGTGAGGACCTTCTTAGTATGAGATAATTTTTCCTTGATGGAGGAAGAAGTCTCATGTCACTCTTGACTCAGAAATCACCGCTTCTTCATTAACTCCAGAAAAAAAATATTTCTAGCTCTTTTTCCTGGTATTTTTGGATTATCTATCTTTTCAGGCACATAAATTCTGCCTTCTCTCCTTACTTACATGTATTTGCCCATTCTTGATTTGACTACTACAAAAAAATTCCTTGGTGTCACCCCAACACATTTTTAGTTCTCTGTGTGTTTTTCTTATAGCTTCCAATGCTTAGAACATAATTTCTCTTTTTATCTGTTAGTCAGGTTGTTATTCAATCTTTGAGGACCAATACACATATCATTTATTCTACAGTAGAAATAGTTGCTCCCTCTCTGTGCTTCCATTATAATTTGTTTATTGTAACATTAATAAAGTTAATTATCCATGTCTGTCTATCCAGCTGGATTTTGTGTTACCTTAATCAGGAACTGTCTAGTTCACAGTTTTAAGAGATATTATATCAAGCATAATAAATATTTTGAATTAAAAAGAACTAATGAAAATTTCTTGTATATCTATTTTAATTATATCTATTTTATTATGTTCTGATTTAAGGTTCTAATATTTGTACTGCAGCAAAACAGTATTTGGTAAAGAAGAGAATAAAAGTGTTTATATATAATAAAATCTAATTACATAGATAACATTACTTTTTATATATAATAAAATCTAATTACATAGATAACATTACTTTTTTTCTAATTTCATATAACATATGTCATACTCAAAGGGCAAAAACGAAAAGCATTTCCCTTAAGATCAGGAACAAGACAAAGATATCCTCTTTTACCACCCTTATTCAACATAGTTGTCGAAGTCCTAGCCACAGCAATCAGACAAGAAGAATAAATAAATTGCATTCAACCTGGAAAGGAAGAAGTAAAACTGTCACTGTTTGCAAATGATGTGACACTGTATATTGAAAATCGTAAATATTGCACCAAGAAACTATTAGAACTGATAAATGAATTCAGTAAAGTAGCAGGATACAAAATAAGTATCCAGGAATCAGTTCCATTTTTATACATTGATAATGAACTATCAGAAAGGGAAACTAAGAAAACAATCCCATTTATAATTGCATCAAAAATACCTAGGAATTGCCCTAGCTGGTTTAGCTCAGTGGTTAGAGTGCCAGCCTGCAGACTGAAGGGTCCCGGGTTTGATTACCACCAAAAGCACGTACCTGGGTTGCAGGCTCGATCCCCAGCCCCTGTTGGGACATGTTCGGGAGCCAACCAATCATTGATGTATCTCTCTCATGTCAGTGTTTCCCTCCCTCTCTAAACATCAATAAAAACATACTTTAAAAGAAAAGAGAAGTACAAATTAAAAACCACAATGAGGTTCAACACACCCGTGAGAATGGCTGCAATGAGAAGGACTGATAATACAAGTGTTGGCAAGGCTGTAAGCAAAGGGAAGCCCCTGACACTGCTTAGTCATCTGGAAAACCAGCTCAGCGTTACCCCTGAAAGTTGAACACGCACGTGCATTATGACCCTACAATTACACCTGCTTCTCTGCCCAATAGAAATGCACCTGCAAGAATGTCCAAGGAGAGTTCCCAGCAACCTCCAACCTTGAACAGCCCTGTCCACCAACAGTAGGGTAGATAAATAAACTGTGGCATACTCATAAAATAAAATAAGGTGAGCAATGAAAACGAATGAACTTCAGCTGCCTGGAGCACGAGGGATTAATATCACAAATAGAATTTTGAAGGAAAGAACCCAATGCAAAAGAATGCAGACTGTAAGTTTCCATGAAACTCAAAAAGCAAGTAAAACTGAACTACAGCGTTTAGCAATACAAGCTTTGGTGGTAAAACTTTTTTTTTAAATCGGGAAGTGACTTGCATAAAAATCAGGAAGTGTCTACTTTTATCATAGAGGGACGGTGATGGAGATATAAAGGAGACTTCTGGGGCACTGGTATATTCCCTTTCTTAANTTAGGTGAGGATTAAAACACACACACAAAATAGAACAAAACAAAAAACCTAGGAATAAATTTAACCAAGGATGATCATGTGATTTTTATTCTTCATTTTGTTTATATGGCATATCACGTTCACTGATTTGTGGATATTGTACCAACCTTGCATCCCTGGAATAAATACCTTGTGATCATGGTATATGATCTTATTAATGTATTGCTGGATCTGGTTTGCTAATATTTTGTTGAGGATTTTTGCATCTGTGTTCATCAGGGTTATTGGCCTATAGTTTTCTTTTTTTCCAGTGTCTTTATCTGATTTTGGAATTAGGATAATGCTGGCCTTGTAAAAAGAGCTTGGTAGTCTTTCCTCCTCTTGAATATTTTGAAATAGTTTGAGTAGGATAGGTGTTGTTTTTTGAATGTTTGATAAAAGTCACCTGTGAAGCTATCCCATCGAGGGCTTTTGTTTTATGGGAGTTTTTTTTTTATTACTGCCTCAATTTCATCAGTTCTAATTGCTCCATTTAGATTTTCTGATTCTTCCTGATTCAGTTTTGGAGGATTGTATGTTTCTAGGAATTTATCCATTTTATTCAGATTTTCCAATTCATCGGCATATACTTGTTTGTAATATTTTCCTATAATTTCCTTGTA